TCGCGTACAAAACGATTAATAGACCAATTGCAGAAGTAAAAGTGAACACAAATAAGACTGAGCTTGTAAAGCTCTTCAAAAATTAGGGAAGAAAATTATGGAAGTGTTATCCGGGAAATCCGGGGAGAATCAAATGTAGTTGTAAAAGGCATTGCGAATGATCTTAATTTTTTGTTTAGTATTTGTACTAATGCTAATGTGCAATGAGCATTTTTGTTCATATTAGAAAAAAGCTTTAAAATGTTGCTGTACTAAAGTTTATCTATTAACATAATCAAAACCTGTAAGTATTTGTTACGGCGATTATAATTTGTAAATTGCAATAAGACCAGTTCATATCCCGTATGGAGGTAACATACAAGGCCATTGGGTGTTGGAAAGTTTTGAACGGGAGTATAACATTCTCGGCTACTACAATTCATTGGTAGGTCTAATGCCAAATGAAAGAACATATTTGAACGAAGCTCGAGGGGTCGGAGGCGCCATCGCCTGCTCCGGCCAGGGGGGGCACCAAGGGCGGAGCAGAAGCCCCCCCTGAAAGGGGAGCGGAGCCGCCAAGCAGTTCGCCCTCTCCACCCGTCCACCCACCCGCAGCGACTCCCAGCTCTGCCCGGATGCCGCCAAAAGCCCCGGACGCTACCCCTAAAGGGGTGGCAAGGGGAAAGAAGCAGACCAATGGCACGCCCCCCAACACCACTGAGAGGCAGAGGAACTGTCTGGAGGCCCATTGCCGCCAGCGGTGGCCCCCGCAGAAGCGTCAAACAACGCCGTGGGGACCGCAAGGCACTCCAAGCCGGTCCAACAAGGTGACAAGGGGAAGACAGCCCACGGGGCTCAGGCAGAAACGCTCGTGTCCAAAGCGTCTAGCGCAGGCAAGCCTTTGGGAGACGACAACGCCGCCTCCGACACCGCGGTGACAGTTCCTTGGTAACTGTCCTTGGTGTCTGACACTGCGGTGACAGCTCCAGAATGCCTTGGGACAACTGGACAATGTTCGAGAGACCCTCCTGCCCTATACGCGGAGCGACCTGAGCTCGGAGGAGAAGCCTGCAGGGGGGCTGCGCGAAGCTATAACTGGCTTAAAAGCCTCTTTAGCAACGCAAAGCTCCCTGGCGTGTGAGGTTAGGCGCGGCCTGACTTCAGCAGCGAAGAAGCCTTCTTCGGCGAGGCCGCCACCCAATCCGCCAGCGGGAGGCTGGGGCGACTCAGCAGACGCACCCCGCATTACAAGCGGGAGTGGCACAAGGTGTTGCCGATCCGATCCGGGAAGCGGTGAAGGAGGTGGCCGAGACGGTCATTGCCCAACAGTTGCGGGAGGCTGCTCACAAGAACAATCCCAAGGCGTTTGCTGCTGCGGCAAAGGCGGCAGGCCCTCGCACGACCAAGCAGATAATCCATGTAGTATCCAAAAGAAAGCAATTTCTAGAAATGTATTTATTCCAACCACAATCAGTACAGATGTAGACAAGTGCAAGCCAGATACAAACAATTTTTCACAAGATGTACCGAAGAATGTCCAAGTCACAACTTCCCGGGAATATGTCCAAAATCGTAGCCGTTGTAACGTTCGCTCTTTCACGAGAGAGAGAGAGAGAGAGAGAGAGAGAGGGGAGGGAGGGAGAGAGAGAGGGGGAGAGAGAGAGAGTCCGTATTCGTAACCGTATCGTCGCATTTGTTCACCATTCACTAATCACCTCTGGATGCGGGCAGGCTCTTGACTGTCCCTCTGCTCGCCGGGCGCGGCTCTTATAGCCGGCTCGGGCTGCGGGTCCGCTGGCCAGCTGTCAGGTACGGGTGCGCGCGTCCGCTCCGGAGCCTGGTCGAGCGTGACGGCGCCGCGGCGTCTGCTACCGCTGGCCTCTCTTGAGTGGCGCCGGAACTAATTTCCGGCGGCTCTTTTAAAGGCACGCAGTCGACCACAGCAATCCATAGGCATAAAGAAATGAATTGAAGATCAGATCCTGGCAGAATTGATGCGTCTGCTTCAGGGCAAGGGTGCAAGGGTACACCGCTCCTGGCTGGCCCCATTGCTGCAGAAAAGAGCAAGAACATCGTAGAGCGAACTGTTCGCGAGAGCAGCGCGCTAGAGTTCCATGATGTACCCAAAAAGATCGCGCCACAAGTTGTCGTTCACGGTACCAGTAAGGCGTAAATAGGCTAGGAAAGGAGCAAAATTTAACATTTAAATATTTGTACAAATGGAGCCAAACATCAATTACATCACAGGACGCATAGTTCATAGATGTATTGAAAAATGTGCCATGAAAGTTGCAAGTCTAGAAAACTCCTGAAACAAATATTGAACATTTCAATGTTTTTTGTTGTTTCTTTCCAGTGGGTCTGCATCTCCGATCACTAAGTAAAAAGTGTAGAGAAAAGGAATATTCAGCATTAACAGTGCAATGTCACTTTATTTAGTTTGCATTATGTGATTAATTAGTTTATAACAACACCAACGCGGTTGTGGGCTTAGCTCTCTTCTAGCCTTTGATCAAAATACCCTACATAGCTTGTGAAATGCATCAGAATAGCTCATCACCCATCTCTCCCAGGTCACTGCTCCTGTAATGTGTCACCCTCCTGCCGATAGCTATTGTCTGAAAATAATTATAAAATATTCTTAAATATCTCTCCAATAATTGGAGAGCTGATAAAAACGCCATATTACTCGCGTATTCGTCGTTGGATAAAACACTGAATAAGGACCTCGAATTTACCTCGCCACGTTATTGTGCAATTCGTATTTTTTCTGGTTTTACTTTTCGGTTGTGCACATTTGAGTTTTGAGGATATCAAGGTTCATTTTAATGCAGCTATCGGCAATTGTCTCGACAGAAACAGACTGCTGTTAGCTGGATGGTAAAATTAAACATTGTTTCGACAAAAATGTGTCCTTTCTGCACGACGAGACTCGCTGCCCGAACTGCAAATTATCCCTTTGGAATATTTTGGAACATTTTTTGCGCGCGTGCCTCGTGTGTGCTATATTTTAGTACTGTTTCCATCAAAATAAAATCGTTCGCGTAGCTTTTCACTTCGTAGTGCCTGTGACGGGTTCACTCATTGTTGATTTGTGTTCAACTTCTGAAATGTCCGTCTTATTTCGTTTACTTAATGTATTTCCATCTCTGCGAGCTTTGTCGTTCTTCCACTTCTTGTTTGGTTGGTAACGCTTAGTATAAGAGGGATCTTAGTATGACTGATTATCACGCTCCGCTGGTGACCGGAAGAGCGCTAGAATCTCCGAGCAATGTATTCCTGAGCGAAGTCTATTTCGAAGAGGTGGCCCTGAATCCGACCACTCAATATCACATCAGCGGTTGGCAAGCGCGGCCATATATGAATGTCATCGACAGCTCCATGGGAGAAGAACAAAAGTCTACCTGATTTATTCACGTTTTTATTACCAGAGCACGACAATAAGTTTAAGTAAAAAATTAGCAGTTTTCCGGCGCACGATTACAATACTTTCTCTTACGTACGTAAGGGCTAGAGGGTAAAAAAAAATATTACTGAAGGGTTTTGTCAGAGAAAACATACTAACAGTTATAAGAACAGCTTTTTAAATAGAAAATAGATGAATTCATAATGAAAAGTTGTCATAAAATATAAACGTTTTTATTTACATTTTCACCATGTGTTCATCCATATTTGGAACAAGTTTGAGTACTGATCAGTAGGAAGGAACCTTACGTTGTGATCAGCTACCATTTTTGTAACTTGATTTTTTACTCTCTTCAAAGAAGAAAATAATTCTTCGCGAACTCAAGTAGACCGACTATATTTTTTTAAGATTTGATTAAAAGTTTCAGAGGAAAAGAGTTTTAAAAAATAGAATCGATCATGAGCTATCTGGCCTGAGATTAATTATTTTGTATTGGAAATCAGTAGGTACTCTATCAATGACTACTGAATATGAAACAACGAATATATAAAATACCCTCTCCCACAATATCAAAACTTGAAAAATAGATTTCTTAAGAATAAAATTTTAAAATAAAAATATGGCTATCGTATTTATTAGGTTCTGATTTTATGGAAAGAAACTAACATTAAACATACATATAACTCACTATTCCCATGTTAAGTTTAAAATACTTAATTTATTGTAGTGTTATACGAGAGTATTTTATTTATTGTTCTCGACTACATAGTGTGTGTGCTACTTTTTGGAAAATAGTTTTATGTAGTTTTATTAAGCAACATTTTTTGCTGTTGAAGGCCACTGGCAAAATTTATTTTAAATTATTTTTAGTTTTAAATTAAATAATTTAAAATACTTAACTAATTAAGAAAATTATGTAATGGTATCAATGTGTTCAATAAAGACAATTCTACTGTGATAACTTACCTTACTGACAAACTTACCTTACTGTCATAATTTTACTTTTCCTGGAATTTCAACTTTCATTTCATGTAATAAATCATTTATTTTTAAAATCGTTGATAAAAAATACAAAACCTTTTGATTGGATGAAAGGACGTGAAGTTCATTTGTATTTTAAAGAGTTTATAACGAAAATTGCAATAAAGGGTAACGCAAAGAAGTAAGGTTTGAAGTAAAAGTGTGTCTTTTAAAATCCCGTGTGACTTAATGTTTAATTCAAATTTCTGTATTACATTCATGTGACTGGCAGTCGAATTTAAACAATATAGCGGCTAACGAAAGCTGTTCAAATACGGCCTGAGCAACGAGTATTGTGTAGTATATTGTAATTCATTAATATGCATGTAGTATATTCTAACTCGTTAGGCCTGTAGCACACGGCGTTGCGTTACCAAAGCGCTTGTGTTCCTTTTTGCACAAGATGCAGTGTTACGGCGTGTTACTTTACGCGCGTCAACGCAACGCGAGCGTGACGCAGGCTTCCCACCATGAAGATGTAAATGCCCCACACGGTAACATTGAATCCCCTATAGATCCGCATATTCCGTGATCTTTAGTGAACTCTTTATAATATATTGTTACGATCATTGATCTGTGTACTCTTGTTGATACCCAGAACTTTAATTGGTATCATTGTTTGCTTCTGAAACGAAGTTTCTTCATGGAATTTGCATAAACTTACTTCGGCAGCCGTATGTCAAATGTTTTAGTTTCGTTTTGGAGAGATTTATTAGATCGTGCTGGCCGTGCTGTAGATTTTCTGTGGAACATTACCTACGATTTGTTGTGTGTTCAGAGAGTTTGTTGTGGTGTGTTTTCGTATTTCTTTAGATTAGTTGAGTGAATAAAGAGTACGATTTAACTTAGTGTGTTTACTTTTAATTCGTGATGTAATCGTGTTAGAATTAGTTTTGTGTGCGTTCGTGAAAATTAACTATGTGAAAAACATATTGTAGGTTAGTCGGACACGGACAAATCATTTCAAGATTTCTTTTAAATTTCTCTAATATCTCAAGAATACGAAAATGGCTGTTCCACCAGCGGCGTTAGTCAACCGAAATAAGAAACATTTTATGGGCGTTCCTGCTCCTTTGGGATATGTTGCTGGTGTCGGCCGAGGGTATGTAAAATATATTTATACATAAATGTCATGCAAGTGTTGAGTGAGTGACATTTCAGTATTGAATTGCTTATGTAGTATATTGTAGTGTCTCTATGTACTGAACATTAGGATGCGTCACTGTTACATTAATCTTACATTCCTTGTGTTTGTGTTTCAGTGCAACTGGATTTACCACAAGATCGGATATTGGCCCTGCTAGAGATGCCAATGATGTTTCGTAAGACTTTTATTTTTGTACCTGAATTTTCAATTGTTAATTTCATAAGTTGAGATTTATTTTATCAACTATTTTGTATACTAACTTCATGTTACTATCTTTCAATTTCTCTCAATAAATATCATAATTTCCATAACATTCATTTTTATATTTGTTCATGGGATGCTTGAAAAGGTTTAATACTTGTTTAAATGTTCTGGTTTCATAGGTTGAAACATGGTAAGATCCTATGCTTGTGCTTGATCAGTATAAAATATCTTTTTTTAATTATGAGTATCTACAAATACATATAAACATAAATTCTCTTGAACCTATAAAACGTATTTTAAACCAAAAGTCCCATAATGACCATTAAAATCTTCAGAACTTTAATTAAACTAAATTGTTAAAAAAGTCTTTGAAATGTGAAGGGAATTGCTGACATGAAGTTTGTATTTGTCACATGAAAATTATATATTTCTAATGTGGAACAGTTTTTTCACTATTTAGTGAATATTAAGAGAGGGATTTGTTGCTGCAAATTTTTTAAAGTATTTCTTTGTAGTGTTTCATCTTGCTGAGAAATCTAGTTAGTGCACTATAGTCAAGAGTATTAGTACTAGTATCTTTCTTTGGATAGAAACTTATAACTTTTATTAAAACTGCCAAATTAAAAATTTCTAGAATATAGAAAACTAGAGTCCAGTTTCCACTTCTAAAAGATAAAATGGAAAATTTTGTTACCTTGAACAGTATTTAATTCTCTTCAGGGGCTTCTGCCTGGTTCATTATAGTATGGCACATGCTGTAAATAATTGAAATGGAACAGAGAGAATAATCACAGGATTTAAGTGTTTAAGAAATAGAAGATTCAATGTTGTGAATCTTAAACCTTTTTCAGGATTTGAATATCTCTGTATTTTATTTTGATTTGACTGCAGTGATGATCGGCATGCTCCTCCAAGCAAAAGGAAGAAAGGACACCAGAAAGAGGAGGATGAAGATGATGACGAAGATTTAAATGATTCTAATTATGATGAGGTAAATATCTTTTTCTACTCAAATTGTGTAATTCTGTCAATAGAATTGAGTTGATACCTTATTCTATGTAGGGAGACACAGACCATGAGTCTTCTGTCTGACCACGCAAATTTCACTACGCTCCTTTCACCAACTATCAGAAAAAGGAGGTTTTTTTGGGTGATGAAACAGGCGATTTGAATTTAGCTCATAGGTTTTATTAAAGCTTGAGGATCTTTTACTTGCAGTAAATCTACTAACATGGGACAACTGGTATTACTTCCTCTCTGAAATCTACAAAGAATTTTTTTGGCTCAAAAATCCACGGCTTGAGTTTGAACCGGCGAACTTTGGTATAACAGGCTGATACACTAACTATTACACTAACCACATTTTGATGGCTGCAACCAGTTGCATAATGATATTCATTAAGAAACAGATTTCATTATGATAGTTTCTTGACCAATCCCAGAGAAGTTTACAAACCAAGTACTGACATTTAATTCATTATTGAGAATTAGCTGGTAAATGTTTTGTTCGGTTGTGTGCATTAAAACTGCATTTAATATAATATTATGCTTGTCATTTTAAGTTGTAGTAATTTTTTGTGGGATATTATTTAAAATAAATTGGATCGTAATTTCACTTTGATTTTATTTGACTAGGGCAGTACTCCCTCTCAGGCAGACTGGAAACCAAAGCCACCTAGCAGCAAAGTAGGGAAGGGTTAGGGAGCTGTCCACTTGGCTAAATCCTGCATGTCACTGCCACAAACAATTAATGTAAAAGTTTCTTATAAAAGTTACCATAAGTTTTAAAAAAAAGTACTGTATGAAACTTGGTGGAGTGGGTATTAATACACTTGTGTAAAGTTTGCGATACTCGCTTGTTCCTTGTGTTTATTGTAATGTCACTCTCGTGTATTAATACCCATTATTGCATCATCATTTACTAATGTACTAGTGTTGAAGAGTTGTGGAGATCCTGGTAAGAAGATTCTCCCTGTTTTTGTTGTAATTGCTCTCTTGTTAACTTTCTGGTGTGGGATATTTTTTGTTGTTTTTCTTATGTCTCTTAAGGTATGTTCTCTGGATAAAATATCGCATTAAAAGAACACACATTCGAAGAAAAGGATTGAGCTGTAATTAACAGTAGTATTTTTCATACAGTTAATATGTAAATTTGCAATTATGTGAAAAACAATTCACTGGGTGGCTCAAATATAAGTTGCTCTGGCAATATTGACAAGAAAGACTTTTAGAAATCATTGGGCATGGCATGTTGAGTGGGCAAGTCAGCAAAGGATTCTACAAGCTGAAAGACAGAGTTTGTTTGTTGCTTTTACATGAAAGAAATGCTTGTTTGAAAGAAACTCTTGTTTCTAACAGAAGATTAATAATATTTTTGTATGAGAGGTTTTTTGGATAGGTTTGACTATACCATAGATAAAATTAGGTGTTTCATAAAAGTGATTTTTGGAAAATACGGTCTGTTCTGTCACACAAATACTTTTTTGTCACACAGATATGCAAAATCAAATTGGGATCATTGTGGGGAGTAACTCATAGAAATGATTTTCATTATTTTACAATTGTTGGCTGACTTGTTCTGGAACATTTGTACTCCCTATTATCTTTGTTGTTCTACCAACTGAGGAATACACTAAATAAAATATATTTTTGTTGCTAGAATGCAGGAAAAGAAATTTGAGCAATGACAATTTGTTCTGTCTCTACTATCGTATCTCCCTTCTTCAATTTATTGCTTGGACATTGTTAGGAACTATGTTGAAAATTATTCCATTTAATTTTTTTATTTTATTCATAATGAACAGAGTTGGCCAACTAATGTAGTACATGGAATAGTAAATTGCACATAAGTAATTCTAATTAAAAGTATTAATAAAATGTAACAACAAAATACAAAGCCTACATAAGTGGTAAATTGATATAAAAGATGAAGTCACAGGAAACATAAATGTGCTTGGGGATCTTGTCCAAGCTATAACCCATTAAATCCTAACAACAGGGTTTGATTTCTGGCGGAACATGATAGAACAGCTTTCTGGTAATTCCGCAACTAGAGAAGAAGGGGGAAAAAAATAATAATAATCAGGGAATGTAATAGGTTTCCCCCAGATTTTTAGTTCCATGTCAAATAATAATTTGAATTATAACACTTGTGTCGTTCTAGCTCAGTTTTATAATAATGTCATATAAAGAAATCTTGTATCAGTTTTCAGGTTACGGTGGTTCGCTGTTTAGCAAGGATCCATACGATAAAGATGACGAAGAAGCAGATGCCATTTATGAAGCCATTGACAAGCGGATGGATGAGAAAAGGAAGGAGTACAGGGAAAAGAGATTGAAAGGTGAGACCACAAAGCAGGTGCTAATAAAAGATAAAGACATAATGTCCTTTTGTATTTTCCCTCAAACAAAAAATCTTGATGATTATCATCAATAGTTAGGCCAACGGAGACTTCTGGCAAAGTCAGCTATTAAAGACTGTCTCTCCATTTGTCTTCCTGCCTCTCTTTTCCTGTTCAGCACAAAATAATGAATTTGCATGCGCAATCTCTCATTGTTAGTTCTCCTCAGGCGATCCAGAGATTTTTGGATTTCTTGCCTGTGTAGTTTAGAGAAAGTATTGTTATGCTGCAAAAATCAGTGTCAAGATTTTGGTACAAATACACATTTTAGAGGATCGTCTTACCACAGTAGCATTTTTTAAGTGTCTGGTGGTCAGTCCATGGAGAACTCTAGTGCTTAGCAGTTTACATGAATTTTCTCCAAATTAGGTAATCCTCAATTGATGCAGCTACATGTGTAGTCCTGTGAATTACAAACAGATCTTTCAATTCTTGAGGTACTTAACAAAAAGCCCCTAGGACACTTTCAAAATTTTCTCAAAACCGACATAATTTGCTTGAATAAAGTGAAGATCACTAGCAGCGAATTTGAACACATTCATGCCATAGTCTCAGCACTAATTTTTTCCTCCACAGGTCAGAAGGTTTTGGGGTATATTCATATCTTCTAAACCAATGAACATAAAGCAATATTCTTTTATTATTTTAAAGAAATAATCTTGTACTTCTACATGAATTTCCAACTTTTCATTTACATTAATTGTTTTAAAAGTTTTTTTTAATACAAACAACACAAAAAATTGAGTCCCTAAAAAAGTTTAACACGTTTATTTTAATTAAATACTTACAAATTTGGTTAATATTAGAACATTAAACATAACATTACATTTGTGTCTATTGCAATAATAAAGAAAACATTCCTCTTTTTATTCACAATAATAGGCTTAGGTGTGGTAATTTTGAACTGCGCTTCTTAGACACCACTGCAGAGGGCATGTTCATCAGTGTATTTTAAACTTATTTATTACAAATTAAATGGCAGCAAACTAAATTTGGTGGTGTGTAGAGGTACTTCCTTGTTGTAAAAACCATCATGAATAGTCAGCAATCAGAAAAATGTACGCCCGTAGTGCCAGTAGATTCTACAGGCATCGTAATTTAATGGGACCTATTGGCACCAGTAGATTCTAGGGGTGGCGACCTGGGTGTATTAATGAAATGTGTTTTTTCCCCCACTTTAAAACAATGCCTTGAAGTATAGACTTTAATTTTATTTACTTATTTCTATAAACAGGATGAACCCTTGTATCGAAATGCCATCTTTTGAGATTCTCTTATTATGAGTGCAATAAAAAAAAACAGTTTGAGTCCTCTTGTAAATCTGAGGTGGATGTTAAAAATTCATCTGTGTATATTATGTATTACAAATGTGCATGGTTTTTATTGCCTTTACTTATTGTTACATCAGAATTAGAGTTTCTTGGCAAAGAAAAGCAAAGTAATAGATCTCAACCGACTAGGTTTAATTTACAAATATAAGATGATCTCATATTTTTCAAGTACGATATTTAGGAAAAAAACCTTCTTATATTCTGGTAAATATAGTAGCTATCTTTTGAATCTTGTTAGAAACAGTTACAGTGGATCTCTAAGCAATTATAGAAACATTTGCGTGATGACCCGATTACTATATTACAATAAAATGCAGTGTGAAATTTAATTTTGCAGAAATAAACTTTCTTTTTGGTACCATAATTAAAAAATAAGGATAAATAATTAAGGAAATTTCAGCACATTTATTATGCAATCTGTAAACTTTCAGAGGAATTGGAGCGGTACAGACAAGAACGCCCCAAAATTCAGCAGCAGTTCAGTGACTTGAAGCGAGGTCTTGTTACGGTGACGGAAGACGAGTGGCGCAGTGTACCTGAAGTGGGCGATGCTCGCAACCGGAAAATGAGGAACCCAAGAACAGAGAAGTGAGTGGAAGGTTATAGAAAAATACTGTCTTATCTCTGTTAGTCAAATTTAATGAGAATTTGAACCGATCTGATGCGAATGAATGTTATTCACTGGAATTAAGTGCAGGTACACAAGGGACACTCGTCCCTCCCTGACACATTTTGTGACAGAGTTCTCGAGTGCAAGACCTTATGCTTTAGCACATTTGTGATTCTCGGTCAATATTTGCAGTCAGGACATCAGTGCAATGAGCATGCACGTCAATATTCTAAATCTTTAGTTTGTCTTTTGTTTGTGTGTGCTGGATCACTGTGCTTGAAATGCATGGCTGAGTGTAGGGCCCATCTTGTTTTCACGCCCAATGAAATTCCCTGGAATGTGGGTTCATCACTCATGGCTAGAGCCAGGAAGTTCAGGCATTTATTTTACCTGAAATAGGCATGCAAAAAAGGTATTTATTGTGGCTAAAGTAGAGGTGCAAGAAGAATGTAAGCAATAAAAATTAATATGTAATGGGAATAGTAAAAAAATTATAATTAAAATTAGTCAAATTCTAAAATTTACATAATCACTAAACGTTTAAGAAAACAATCTTTTCTTTGTATTGTTGATTCCGCATGTGCACGTGGTACATTGTTTATGAGTTTCTTTTCCTTGTGACACTGTCTCTTCAAAATGCTATTATGAATTCCCTTTTGAATCTTGAAATGCAATAAATAAAAATGGAATTATATTTTTTAGTTCTTCGCATTTTTGTTATCGCCAACACTGAGAAGGGTATACCATATATAGAAAGCTGTGTTCAAAAAGATTGGTGGTCGTACTCAAGAGCAGAATTGGATCGCTTATAAGCGAAGAAAGCTTGACAGCATCAATGAAAAACTCAAAAATTTTGTTTGGTGTCATCTTCCTTTTCTATTCAGACTTTTATCACAGCGACTGCTTCCACCAAAAGACAAAACACGACCATGCCTTCAAGTTGTCCAGTCCCAACTTTTTGAGTTTTTTTTTGAACTGCATTTTTTGTGTGGCTTGCATATTTTCTGCATTACTTCATTAATTGTTGACCATTAAATGATGTCAAACACCGTTATAAAAATCTGGGAAATAATACTAAGGGGGAGAAGTGTCAGTATGTCGCATGTTCCCACTAGTTTTTGTATCAATGACACAAAAATTAGTTTTATTGTTTATTATGAGCTTTCAAAGTGAAATTTTGGTTTGAAAATATATATTTTCATTAGCCTAGGAACATTACGTCCAAATCTTGCTTGAACACAGCTCGTTTCAGACCTCCCTTCTCTCCTTCTGCATGCTTGCCTTGAACGTGGTCGCCCTTGGCTTCGCACCAAGTGCACAAGGCTAGTTGACTAATGCAGCATTCTGTTGGGCCCTGACAGTACCATGAAAATGAATGACACTGAAAAGCTCTGACCCTATGTAGTGGTGTGCCATTACATAGGAATGGAAGGCCCGGGTTGATTGACCTGTTCTTGGAGGAAGGACATACCTCCTTTTTGCTTGGGTGACCCATCCTTTGAAGAAATAGTTAAAGTTTGTCCCTTGCTATAAAACATGCTCCTAAGGGAATGTAATACTGTTCACCAAATTTGCTCAAGATTTTCATTCTCTGATGAGCTTGATTACTGGCCCTTTATGTTCCGCAAGCTCCAAGGCCAAGTAAAATGTTGCATGTGACTTGTAACAGAAATTCAACTCGTTTAAGAGTAAGACAGCTGATTAAAAAACATCATTTCAGAAATTTTGCTGAAATACAGAAAGAAATTGTGCATAATGACTAACATTTAGAGTGAAAACTGGAAAATTTGTTAGATTGATTTTATTTTTTTTAGCCTTCTCTGCAGTTTCTCTGACAGTAAATACATGTAGGTATTGTCCATTTTAAAAGTAGTCTCTCTTCAAGAATAAGAGTTGGAAAGGGTGTCATCGAACGGGGAGCTTTGTTATGGCTTAAATTTTTGGTGTTGGAGTTTCTGATTGGATGACAGTGTCCCTCCCCCTCTGCTTCCAACTCGCGATTTGTTTACATAAACTTCATTAAATATTAACAAAATTAAATTTTTATTTTTACATGTTTTATATTTTTTTCTTTCATATTCTTTAATTTGATACCATTTTTCAATTTCTAACAGTAATTTATTAAATAATTCAAATCCTTTAACAAACAATTTGGTTGTGTCTCTGCCCATCTGTTCTTAAAATGACTTTAATGCTTGTCTTGTTTCTCTGGGGTGCTCTACTTCTCTTTAAATTTTGTTGTCTAAATTTTATGTTATCTGGTGTTTAAATAATTTATCAATAAAAATTGTCTTGTTAGGCGTTCTCTGTTTTATTCATAGTTTCTAACATGTCTAGGACTGAAGTTTATTGAATTTTTACCCCCACTTCTCTGTTTTGTTGCTGATTTTGGATTTTTTGTCTCCGATTAATATTGTTGCACAGTAATGAAAATGGGCTACAATTATAAATTTAATAATGGAATCAAACATCTTGTATAGCCATTTACAATAGATCTAATTCGGTTCAAAATATTAATCTTCTTCCAATTTTCTGAACAATGTACACTGTGTAATCTTTAAAATTGAATTTATTACTAATTGCTCCCAAAATTTGATTTTGTATTCCCAAGACAATGGTGATTGGCTCTTACTGTTGCTCTTGTCTCATAAAGCGAAAAGTTGCGAAACCAACTTACATTTTTTCACTATTAATGTGCCATAAATTGCATAAGAAGTGCATATATTACTGTATACAGACTGTTCTTTAACTACACAGGGAAGAGGTTGGGAACTTGGCAATTACGGACATATCACAATTGCACAGATTGTATAAGGATTTACTCTTTCAGAATCTAAAAGTACTTGTTGAAGAAATCTGGTGTTGCCTTGTAATTTGTTTATTAAAATTGTGTAAAGGAAATGGGCCATAATGTATCTCCTGGTAATTGAACTGCAAGAATTTGCTGGTTGTAAAGAAATGTCTTAATTTTGTAAACAGTGGATTGGTTGTTTTGATGTGATGATAATGTTTCATTTTGTCGGAATTCACAATGTGTTGTTGAAATTGGTTGCTTTTATTTATGTGCTGTTCTTCATTATAGATTCACCCCCTTGCCCGATTCTGTTCTTGCTCGGAACCTTGGTGGGGAATCATCGAATTCCATTGACCCTAAGAGTGGCATAGCCACAGCCTTCCCGGCTGGATCGTCAGGATTTGCAACGCCAGGTATGAATATTGTTTAGATCTAAATTCTTAAATTGTGTGACTTCACAAACTTACAGCAAAATCAATTTGTAAAAACACCCACTACTGTATATTCGTTGAAAAATCTACATTACTTCTGCAGTAATTTGAAAAAGAAATAACTACATAATTTAATTGCAGGTTTTTTTATAATTTACCAAAATTTTTTAATCGACTTCAATAATCTTTTCTTATTGTACTTTGTGTTCTTGATGGAAAAGATTACAGTCAATATTCAACCAACACCATGACTTTTTTATTTGGAAGATGCGTAAGCTCCACCATTCATATTCATGTTGGGAAAATGGCTGCTTTGATAGAATCATTTGAATAATATTAACACACACATTTCAGTTGTATTTTTAAAGAAATAAAGACAAAACTTTGGCATAATTTTTGAGATTCAGGGAAGTTCATGGTTCGTTAAAAAGGAAATTATTTTACATATAACTGCAGGTAAAAAGATAGGGACCTTCTAATAATTTCTCAAAACTAAAATTTTCTTTATATTAGCATTCATAAAAATGTTATATAACTGTGTCTGCTTGTTGCTGCAAATATAAAATAAGTAAATAGTAGATTGTTCTCTTGGCCGTACAAAGAACAATTCATTTTGTGATATGCAGACTGATATTGTGACCTGCTGATTCTGATTCTTAAATGTACAAAATGCTCTGTCTTCTTGACTGAATGAACAGAACACAACAGTGTATTGCAAGTGATTCTTAAATTTGCCTTAGTATTGCTGAATCTAGACTACTCTCCGAGCATCAGTAAAAAAATTAAGTAAATAAAGATATTTCTGATTGAAAATTTAATTCCATTATAAGAAATTAATTAATATTACTACATTCATTCTCAAATTATCCATATTCAGAAAGTACAATGTATTATGATGTAAAGAGTATTTAAAATCATAAAATGAATACTGTATTTACCTGAATATAAGGTTATATCTAAATATATCATTAAAAAATGTACAGTAGAGTTCAGAGTTCTCTGGCTCTGTGACGTCATGCGATTACGCTGTGGCAATCAGTGAGCGACGGAGAGGGGGTAGAGTGGGGATACGGGAAGAAGGTGAAGGCAGAGAGTGGGGAGGAGATGGAGAGTACTCAGTTAAAAACATTGGTCTTACCTAATCACTGTCCATCGATGAGCTATCGCTGTTTTCACTTTCTTCACACTCGTTATCCGAGTCCATATTTATAACAATACTGTCTATAATGTCCGGCACTTTACCATCCCTTTCCCGGTATTCATTTTCTAGTTTCGTGACGTGAGAACAATACCCCATCCAGTCTTCGGTAGTGACTTGTGTGATAGCCCAGTTTGTAAGATCTAACAATTTTGCTGTTGACATGTCCCCATTTACATTTCTTTCCTTTATAAGTCTCTTAATTTTTGCCCACGCCATTTCAACAGGATACAGTTCACACACGTAAGGAGGGAGACGAATGACTGAATGGCCCCTACTTGTAAACAGCTCATCAATTTTGTAAATTTTGTCCTTAGGTTTTAGCTGCAGAACTAGTTGATATAATT